CGGTATCACAGACCCCTCCTCCGGTGGAGGGGACTTGGCCTTCTATTTTAAACCGGTAAGGTAGCGCATGCACCCCAGATCGAAAACATGTCGAGTCGTGGGAGATCCGGAATAAAGTCTCCTATCCCGCCGATCATTGCTCAGGCATGGGATTGTCTGGACCAAAAACATTCGAGTCTTACCACACCCGTCGGGCCATCGCCTTTCGCCTACCGCGCAAGCAACCTTTTTCCAAGTTTTGGCCTGTCGGAAGCACAGCGGTACAGTCATCGCATGTAGGACCCGACCCTCTCCAGGCAGACGAGGCGAGGACGCGGCCTGGACTAGGACTGGACTAGACAGTTGTGGCTTGATGCCTGCCTTGTAGGTGACGACGGACAGGGAATCTCGATCGTTGAGGGGGGTTTGCCGGCTGCTACAGTGCTACCTAGTACCTCCAACCCATCTCCAACTGCGCTGCGGGCAGTGACGACGCACCTTATCAGGTATTCGTCCTAGGTATCGCGAGACTCCGATCAGCATACTGTACTGGTCTGAGCCACACCGAACCAGAGCTGCCGACTCCCATCCTGCGATCGCTTCTTGTAGCACGACGATGAAGCAGCCAGGTAGCTCCTGACTGAAGGCCTGTTCCTCGGCGCCTTACAAACTATGACGAACGAAAAAGGCACCTTGCTGGCCTGGCTTGCCTGGTTGGTGGCTGCTTGGCCCAAGCTGAAGCCTGATGGTGTCTCTGTTTCATGCCCACAGTGGCGCTGGTGGATACGGCGTTGCAGAAGGTTCAATGCCTTGCTTCCACGAGGACCACATAATGAGGCAGCCCGTTGCGTGATAGATCGCCCAAGATATCGCCCGAACCAGATCTCTCAGCCCTGCCTAGCGCTTCGACATCAACTGCGAGATGGGCTGGGCGGGCATCTTTGCAACTATTCGTGGGCCTGTCCTCAATCATCCGGCCACTGGGCAGTAAGGTAGTCGTGGAATACGAGATGCATTTCGGTAGCATTTCAGGGAGATCAATTCATTTGTGGTTGACGTACAGGAAATAGAAAGACGGTCCACGGCGGCTGGGTGGTACTTTCGGTAGGTATGACTGGTAACGAGGTAGGTACTTTATGTACTTCTTAGGGGACACCGCCGGAAGCATCCAACCTACCAGGTACCTACCTCCTGCAGGCTACAGCCCAGACACGCCAGTGGAGGTTGGGGCGGCTGGAACACACTGTGACCTGAGAATCCCATTCCAACGCGCATCAGGTGCAATTCGTCCTGCACATCCCAAGCAACCTCCAAGACATCCATCCTGGGCCGTTGGGACGTCACACGCTTTCCCCGCAAATCGTCCTGCAGTGGACTCACAGGCCGCTCCACCATCGTCATCCAAACAAACCCCCCCGGCTCACTGACCGAGAGCCAGCTTGCCAGCCATCCAGCCATTCATCCATTCCATTGGCATCCATCCACCTTTGATGCACCAATCCCGGACCGCTTTAAAACCGCCTCCCCTCCCCCTCCAATCTGCCTTTTGCACCTTTCTAGAGATTCTGGCTTCTTTCTCCGGTGTCACGAAACCCCAAAAGCTGCTTTCAGGCCTCACATAACCCGACGACATCATGGAGCGTGTTCACCACGGTACGTAGACGCATATGCTATCCTCGGGTGCAGACCTCAATCATGAAACCTTTCGGCTGACTGTTCTTGTTCTGTCTGATCAGTCAATCCCTTCGCCAAGCGCGACTCCCACAGCAAGAACTCGGTCATCGCGTACAAGGCCCTCACCACCATCACCTGGCTCCTCGCCGTCATCGTCTCCTTCTACTACACTTTTGAGAAGCCCCACGATGGCCAGTGGCACCGCCGCAAGTTCTGGAAGCAGAACAACCACTATGACACGGCCTTCCGGATGAACCCGCTCATTGCGAGCATTTACTGGTAAGAAACGACATCCTGGGGCTTTGGATGCCCAGGGTACTTAGTATGTATAACTCGCTGATCGCACAAACAGGATCGTCCTCTTCGTGCTGCAGGGCGGCTACATCGCGCACCTGTTCAGCGGCACGGTGGAGCGGGTGAACGAGGCGTGCGCGGTGGGCAGCCACTTCATCGTGAACAACCTGCTGCACTTCGCCTTCGTCATGCTGTTTGTGCGCTCGGCTTTCGGCTGGGCCGAGCTGATGATCATCCTCAACTTCATCAACCTGTCGTCGCTGTACTTCCGCCACCCCAGCTACGCCCGCTTCATCCACGAGCCTGTCGTGTCTGGCCCGCTGGCCTGGACGTTCGTGGCCATCTACTGGAACGGCGCAATCATGGTGCCCGACTCGGCCAGCCTCGTTGCCCGCATCTTCGGCAACATCTTCATCTGGAGCATCATGGTCTACGGCCTGTTCTTCATCATGGTGTACAAGGTGAGCAGACTCTCGTGAGTTCATGGCCCCGCACACGTCGACTAACGCAATCAGGATTACACCATGGGCTTTAACCTCAGCGTCCTGGCGGCCGCGATCGGAGTGTCGCAGTTCTTCCGCCAGGTCATCGCGTTCCAGTGGATCTTCGCATTCACCATCATGGCTGTCCTGTTCGTGGCCACCGTCGTCGTCGCGGTGCCTGCTGCCACCGGCAAGGAGCTGCCCTTCACGAGAGCGAGCAACCGCGAAAGCGAGCGAGCTCCCCTGCTCGCCGAGCCTTAGACGGAGCCGTGGCCGTGCTCACGGTTCGCAACACCATTTCCCGACTTTGAAACATCGGGTTGAAGGAGATGTAGCCGGCCGTCCCCTCGTCGATATCATGGTTTTGATCGGTTGCTCGGACCGTTCTGCCGAAAGCCCCCGTTGAGAGTTGTGAGCGCTTCATATGTTCCCGTTTGTTCGTATTTGTCTAGCATGTTGCGATCGACCATGGAGGTTGGGTGCATTCGGTACGGACAGAGGACGATGCACACTGTATGAATAGTTCGGAACGGCCATGCGAGGAGTTCGTCGTGTTTTGTCATCTGATCGAGAGCGGCAGTTGCTTCAAAATGTGTGTAAAAACCACCCAATTCAGGTTGCAGATTTGGCATTATCGCTGCTCGTCCTGGTGTAATGGCCTTATTGGTGATATGTTGTGAGATGAGTTATAAGTGGCCTAGCGCTTGACTCCAAGGCGGCATGAGTCCCAATGGCAGCTTAGAGTAAGCCGGGAACGAGGGGCCCCCATGTGAGCAACCGCATCTCTTTAACATGCTTACCTCCCTGGCGGATTCCTTTGCATCTTGTATCTCACGACTGGAGACGGGTTTTATTTCAGTTGGCACTGGATTCATCCATTTATTCATGCCCCGTCTTGCGCATCTCATCCGCGTCCGGCGCTAGCGTCGAAACACGTTTTTGATTGGCCCACACAATTTTCAAGATACCGGGTTCGGATCTTTGCAGCGATTGCAGCTGCATCTCATCTCAACCGTGACTGTCAACCCACCTCAGCCTTTCACCACCCACGTCGTCGTTGTCGTTGTCGTCGTCATTGTCGTCGTCGTTGTCCCCGTCGTCGCCCCAGGACCAGCTGGGTCCCCAACCTCCTCTTTCCCTCCTCCTCCCCCTTCCTCCTCTTCTTCCCCATCGCCACCACCACAACCCACCAACCATGACATCGGCCGCGGCGCTCGCGTCCCTGCGCGTGGGCAACGACATCTGCAAGATCCAGCGGGTGCACTACATCGTGAGCAGCGCGGCGGCGCAGCGGTTCGTGCACCGGATCCTGTCGCCGGTGGAGGTGGCGAAGCCGCGGGCCCAGCGCGCCCTCCGGCCCGTCCTCGACAACAGCCCGCCCGGCCCCCCGCCCCCGGCCATCGAGGACCCCTACACCAAGCCGCCGGGCCCGCGCGCCCTCGAGGAGCGCACCGCCGCCGCGCAGTTCATGGCTGGTCGGTAGGTTCCTCTGCTCTGCTCGTTGTGTATTTGTATTGGTATTTGTATAGAGGGTGGGATATGAACGAGGCTCATGTGTATCCCAGATTCGCCGCCAAGGAGGCCGTCCGCAAGGCCTTCTCCGCCCGCCGCCTGCGCTGGCACGACATCGTGCTCGGCCGGCCCGACGAGGCCGACTACGACGCCGGCCCGGACCGGCTGGAGGAGTTCTTCGACCGCGGCAAGGAGGCCGAGAAGCCGGCCGGCGAGGAGTCGGACAAGCCGAGCGGCGAGGAGTCCGACAAGCCGAGCGGCGAGGAGCCCGACAAGTCGGCCAACGAGCAGCAGCAGCAGCAGCCGCCGCCGCCGCCGCCCCTCGAAACCGACTCCGGCCCCCTGATGGCGTACGTGCGCGGGCCCCCCGGCTTCCCGCACATCGCGGCGCCCGTCAGCATCTCCCACGACGGCGCCTACGCCACCGCCGTCTGCCTCGGCATCGCCGAGGTCATCCCCGAGAAGCGGCCGCTCCCCGGCGCCGCCGGCCCCGTCGTGCGCCGGATCGGCACCACGAAGCCCCGCCCCCGGCAGGGCGGGAACTGGTACGAAGCCCCGCCGGCCGGGGGGAAGCGTGCGAATCGCCCGCGCACCAGGGTGCGGTATATGCATGGCACGGAGCCACGGTGAGGAGGAGCGGTCGGATGGGGTGCGGTGGGATGGGATGGGGTGCTGGGCTGTACTGTAGTGTATAACAATTTCTCGCACGCTGTATTTATTACATCCTCCCCGCTCGTCGCCAGCTACCGCGCGGCCTGCACTGGGTAGTAAGTACCTACCTACCTAGGGATTCGGCACGCGGCCAGCGCTGCTGAGCTGGATGGGAGGGCTTGGACTGGTGGACCCACTTCATTCATTCAAGCTTCCAGTCTGCCTGGGACCGAGGCGCGGTGACGCCACCGCAGGATTCGGGCAATCTACACCAGAGGCGGCCTCGCAAGGGGGGTTTGAACTTCAAGAAGATGTGTTGACGGTGGCATCAATCGATAGGATGGAGTTTTCTGATGCCAGTCGTAGCTGACATGATATATAATACGCCCGGATTTGCTAAAATGTTCAGACCGATTGGCGCAATGGTAGCGTGTGGACCTCCTACACTGAAAGCAACTAGTTTGCTCGTGTGAGTCCGAGGTTGCGGGTTCGAGTCCCGTGTCGGTCGCTCATTCAACTTCAAGGACAATTCGCGTGATTGCAATGTTAATTTTTCTAAATAGTTCCTCCAATTGTTTCCCTTTTTTTTGTTTCCATCGTCTTCCTTTTCCCTTTTTCTCCTTACCTCATTTGCTGCCCCTAAGCTTTGTTCATCGCCCCTCATCTTTCTTGTGGCCCTCGGACACGCTAGATAGCGCTTACGCACCTGCCACGCAACAGCACGTCGCAAGCCGCAATTGATCACTCATGTCTGCTCCCTTGGAAGCAATGGCACACTTATCACCAGCAGAAACTAGCACTCTGCGCTGAACGTTTTTGCCAATAATGCAGGGGAGTGGGATGGTCACGTTATCAATGATTATCCCAGTTTGATCATAATAAGGTTAGCAGGATAATCATTCAAGTGCCCATTATTCCAAACACCACATATAGGGTGAGTCGCAGACCCGAATACAGACTTGTACACGTTCGGTCTTGCTAATGGAAGACAAGAAGACGCCATAACATCAGGTGACTGGCCGCTTATTTACTTGAGACGCGTTGCATCAATTGTCGTCCAAGTCGTGTGGGATGTGAAGCTCCTCGCCTAACGCTACGCTATCCAAATCGGTATCTACACATAGCAGCAACCCTTGAACGAAGAGTCCGCTGACAGCCCTACCGATACAGATGATCGGCTTTTGGCGACCCGAACTCGCCGGCCGTGGTGAACGCGCACCTGCCCATGCCCATGGCCGTGCCGCGGGCGAGGAGGAGGCTCTGGGAGAACAGCCAGTGGACGAGGCCGGCCGAGATGAACAGGGGGACGCCGTAGCGCAGGGGTAGGGAGATGAAGTAGCGCGAGCAGCTGGATGCCGATCAGCTCGGAGACGAGACGCGCGCTGGACCAGGCACCTGCTGCGCATCGAGTTGTACAGGATGGTGATGGTCAACTGCGACAGGTTGGAGAGCAGCACGTTCGAGATCAGCCTTTGTGTCTGTTAGCCGGGCTTGCGATGGCGGGTGCACCTGATGAGTGGCTGATGCTGTAAGCAGGATTGCCCATCGCCGCATCAGAGCTCTTCGTCGAAGTCGAACTCCAATGACAGCCCGCCGAAATCGTCGGTGATGTCCTGTAGCTGTTTTTGCTTTTGACTCCGCTCTCGACGCTTGCCTTCGCGAGCAGCGTCCATAACCCGTCTCTTCTCCTGCCTGTACTCTTCCACTGAAGGGGCTACCTCGCCTGTGGATCTGATATCCTTCGCAGCAATCCACACCCTCTCGCTCCGAGCATCTACTTCCTTTCCGTCGACCTCTGAGACGAAGTTCCGCAAGTCTTCAAGAGTCTGGAGACATATCCAACCCGTCACTGCTCGACCCTGGCAGGTCCGGAACCCTGCCGCAGTGGGGCTGTAGGCAGCAAAGTAGGCGAAGAATGATCGTGCAGTGAATCCCGTCATGCCACCAGCAATTCTCAATCTAGCAGCGAATGGGTAGAGTTCCGGTGGATAAGGTCTTACCTTGAAGAGATGGGAGTAATATCTATGCTTGCTGTTCGGCATCCAGGGCAATTTTCTGAAACTCAACGTCTGGCGGGGAATCTCAAGTTTGTCTGTGCCCTGGAGATCCAAGAGACCCATGAGCATGGAAGCCATGCGTGTGGCGTCGTTGCCAGAGCAGTGTGCGTTGCGTACGCCCTGCCATCGCTTGCAATCTTCGTCAAACCCTAAGGCCATCAAGGTGTCCCGCAGCCCAGGTTGTTCCCCAGGCCGGGTAGCTTCGGAGGCCATTGCCGCTATCTCCTGAAGATCCATCCAGGACGAGAACTGGGTGTGTAAGCGTGGGAGAATTGCTGATAGTGCGCGGAACTCGAAGGACATGTCGAAGCCGATCAAGACCATTTCCGAGTACAAGTCTGAGTCTGCCTTGAAGGAAGTGATAGCCTGCATCAAGGCATCCTCCACCTCAGTCCGCTTGATATATTCAACTTGACCATAAAGGTATTTTTCCCGGGGCCTGCAAGTTCCTTGCTTGTGCTCCTCCACCCGGAAACAGCGGCTTCGTACACGAAACTGCTCGACAACGTTCGCCCACGTCCGAGGTGTACAATTTCGCAACGAAAAGGGGCTCTGGTGTGAGGCGGAGGGTATGAAAGCCAGACCTATCTCTGCGAATTCTCCTTCATTTCTGTTCCAGGGTTCCAGGTCGATGGCCAGAAATGATGCGGTCTTTGCCCGATGCCTCAACGTCGCTAGGTCCGGAAGGTTGTTTTCCCACAACCTCCTCCACTGTGCCCACTTGTAGCGATGCGTGTGACCCGGGATGTATCGCATTTTGTGTGGCGAGACCTGGTGACATTTGACCGAGCAGCAGTATGGTAATCGGGGTTTGTTATTTGGGTTCGCAGATCATCACCACGGTTTGATTGTCTTGGCTTGCTGGGTCTGTTTGAATGGTTGGACCGGCTTGAAGTGCTTTTCTTCGTATGCAAGCAAGTGTGTTATCGGAGATGGGCGCCGTCCTATCTAAGGTTTGGGTACCTCACCTTATCTAAGCCACACAATACCTTGAGGAGAATGGTGACGATGTGTTCACGAGGACGTTGTAATAGGTATACATCGACACTCGGCGAGGACTTACAGCCGCCGCGGTCAGGCCGCTAATCCGCCAACGACTAAATCTGGTTGCTAAGACGGTGTGCCATCGCAACATCTCAGGGGTAGCTGTCTGTGGTTGAACGGGTTGAACGGGTTGGTAGTAGGTCTCCCACAGCCCAGCGCTTCACTTGGCAGTGCCTCGTGCCACGCGAAATGAGAAAATGTTACTGGCTGCTCATTTAGAACTACATCAAGGTCGAAAAGCTAGGCCCAAGTTCATGTGTACTGGCCTCCATGATGAGCGCAACCCAGGAATCCGACTCTTGCGCCAGGTCTGCTGGCGAGCTAGATCCTCATGGAATCGGTGGCGGCTAAGCGTCGTAAAGGCTAAAGATGCCACTTGGAGTGAACGTGACACACAGAGAACTCCAGAGGGTATGTGCACCTTTTGGATCCGTAGGTGCTTCGTGAAGTATCAGGACAGAGAGCCAGAGATGGAAAGGAGAACCAGACAGCCAGTCGAGTGAGGGCTCCGCATGCTACGTAAGCCCCATATTCCGGGGAAGTTAGCTTATTCGGTGGGGCCATTGCTTGTTGGAGGTGGTCCTGTCGGTGTTACCTTAAGGTGGACCGTGGCACATGGCCAGCAGAAAGCTTCCCCAGCTCGCGCATCCCGTCGCGCCGCGGTTATTGTCCTTCTGTCCATCGTCGTCCATTTGATAAGACCACGCCGAAGACCGCCACCCACGCCCCGCGCATCTAATTTACCGTTGCTGCTGTATGTCTATCGCAGAGCTATAGATCGCTGAATGAGAATCTTGTTGCTGTAGTTACCATGGCCACCGATGTTGATTTGCCTAAGCGGCAAGTCACGCCTGTGCCTGTGCCTGTTCTCCCCGTTTCCTCTCTGCCTCAAAAGCGCCCCCTCGAGGACGACCATGCACCGCCTGTATCCTCGCCTCTCAATCCAAATCCCGATCCTGCAGCCATGGCCCGCGACAAGCCCGCCCGCGCCAAAAAAGACACCCTCAAGAAGCGCGAGTCCAAGGGTGCTCACGGGCCCGACAGCCTCCGAGCCACCCCCGACTCGAAGCTCAAGGACCTCAAGGACTTGACCCCGAACGAATTCTCCCCTCTCCGTTATAAACTTGCGCCTCCCAAGCCCTCCGACTTCGAGCCTGCGCGCGGCCCGGTCTTCACCCATCATCATACTGTCCCGGCTTTGGATGGCGGGGAGGTCGAGTTCTTCGAGACCTCGGAGCAGTAAGCTATCCCATATCTCAGAGGAAAGGCGCAAAGCGACGGGAATCTTTGCTGACGGAACTTCAGCGTCTATAACAAGAAGAACTACCACTATCTCCATTGCATTGCCGATCCTGCATTCCCCTCCTCCTTCTACTACCGCCAGACCGAACCCGAGCCCCATGGCCCCCATATCAGCTTCGAGGATGCTTCGACACATATGTACCTGGATCAGTCAGGACGACACATTACGACGGACAAAGGGTTCAGAATGGCCAGGGCTAACGTCGCCGTCCGCGAGGGAACGTGGTACTGGGAATGCAAGATAACAAGAGGCACCATCCGGAGCGCCGAGGGGGCCACGACCGATTCGCATGGCCATGTACGTCTGGGTTTCGCACGACGAGAGGCCTCACTCGATGCGCCCGTCGGATTCGACGCCTACAGCTACGGTATTCGAGACGTACAGGGTCAGAAGGTCCACATGTCGCGCCCCAAGGACTTCTTCCCGGAGGGTGAGGACATCAAGGAGGGGGACGTCGTGGGACTCGAGATCCGGCTGCCATCCGAACAGCTGCACCGGAAGATCGTGCAGGGGCAGTACAATCCCGCGGTGGATCTGAGCGACGAGGAGGACCCGACGGCCGAGTCGGCTAACATCGTCCGCGACCGCATCCCCATCCGCTTCAAGGCGCATATCTACTTCGAGAAGATCGACTACCACACGACCAAGGAGCTCGAGGACCTGATGAACCCGGCGCCGTCGGGCCCGGGCGGCGCGCCCGCCAGCGGCAGCAACCGCCCCGGCAGCGAGCCGCCCAACCCGAACCACCCGCTCCCGGCGCTGCGCACGCTGCCCAACTCGCACGTGCGCATCTACAAGAACGGCCGGCCGATGGGCACGGCCTTCACGGACCTGCTGGCCTTCCTGCCGCCGGCCTCGCGGCCGCAGGCCCAGGTCGGCGCCCGCGAGGGCATGGACGACGGCATGCTGGGGTACTACCCGGCCATCAGCGTGTTCCGCGGCGGCGCGGCCGAGGTCAACTTCGGCCCGGACTTCTGGTGTCCGCCGGCCGAGCTGTTTCCGTCATCACCGACCGGTCCCACCACCGACAACAATAACAACGGTAGCGAGGATGTCGAGATGGAGGACGCCAACGACGCGGTCATCACCGTAGGCGGCGGCGGC